CAGGAGTTTGAGACCAGCCTGAGCAAAGCGAGACTCATCTCTACTGAAAATAGAAAAACTAGCCAGGCATTGGGGGTGGGGGGGTTGTAGTCCCAGCTACTCAGGAGGCCGAGGCAGGAGGATCACTTGAGACCAGGAAGTTGAGGTTGCTGTGAGGTAGGATGCCATGGCACTCTACCCAGGTTGACAAGGTGAGCTCTGTCTCAAAAAAAAAAAAGAGAGAGAGAGAAAAGAAAAGAAAGTGAACATACCTCTCTGTTAGGAGAAAGCTGCAGCAAGAACTTCTCCAGTCTGAGCCACGAGAGCCTGAGGAATTGCCCTAGAGAACACTTGTGCGAGCATCTGAAGTCCAGGGCAAAGTGTGGCTCTCAAAAATCAGCAGATCCCTGGAAAGAAGGTCAATCCATCAGGTCTAGAAGCCAGGGAGAGATGAACACTCAGAACAATCCTGTATTAAGTGAGAGCTGTTGAAAGAGGGTTCAAAGTATAATGAGAACGCTAAAGGAGTTTCACGAACAGTACAAATGAACTAGGAATTCAGCATCTTAATTCAAAAAGGAGATGTTTAAAGTGCAGGCTCAGGTTGCTGCCTGATCAAGTGAAAGGGATCTCAAAGCATACAATGGAAATACAAGGAGATGGAAATCATTAGGGACGTGATAAAGGGCTGGAAGGATAGATAGATCTAGAAAATCCAACTTAACAGTAAGACGCATTCCACATGGGAATATAAAAAAATAAAGGAAAAAGAAAATTAAACATAGAAAATTTCCTTGTGCTCAAGAAAGACCCGCATCTGCAGACTGAAAGGGCTCACTGAATTCTAGGTGGTTTTAATAAGAAAAGACACATTTCTAGGCATATGCTTGCAAACTTAAACCTTCCAGGACAATAAGAAAATCATAAAAGCTTCTAGTCTAGTCGGAAAAAATTCTACTTCCAAAGGAAAATAGGCCAATGACTACCTGATTTCAAATCAGGAATATCGAAGCTAGAAATTTATACTAGAGTGACATCGATGTGTCAACTGTGAAGAAAGGACTGAAATAATGGAATATTCTCCACAGCAAAAAAAAAAAAAAAAAAAACCCAACACAAACCAACCAACCAACAAATGGCCAACTGGGAAATAAAGTTATTTACAGGGATTCAGAGAATATATCACCCTCGTATTTGTCTGAGGAAAAACTTGGGAAGTTATTCTAACCAAACAATACGGACAGCAGTACAGAAACCTTCAGCTGGGTGCTCAACAAACACGAGATGAGCGCACGGCTCACTACCTCCGCATCCCCAGGGGAGGATTCCCACTGCCCTCACATCCTGGGCCAGGGCAGAGACTTCTGGCTGAGTCAGCCTGTGTGGGAGGGACCCCGACCCTGGGGCTCTGAGACTTTGAGGCTGCATTATGAGGGAAGCCTGAGCACTCCAGCCCCAACCCTTGCTCACCACCAGACATGATCAGAGCCTAGGACACAGCAGCAATACGTCAGGCCAGAAACGTGGATCCGGCTCTATCCTGCCAGCTCAGCATTAGCTCCTCATTTCCTGGCATGAGTGAGCAGAGACTAGAGTCCAAGCCTGGAAGCTCTGTGATGGGGCGAGCTGGTTGCTCTGCACCTGAACATTCACAGCTGGAGGACCACCAGCCCATTCCCTGGTGTGACCACGGCGGGGAGCCCGAGTTCATACTCATCTTTGGCCTGTACCTTCTGCATTAATCAGGGTCCGTGGAACTGGGCAGGAAGCTAACTCCTTTTTCTGAAAGGCCGTCCTCCAAGGGGATCCATCTCAGACAAGTTAACCTTTAGTGCTCTCCTCACAACTCTGATCCCCGAGTTTGCCCTCGCTCCTGCATACCCTACTCTGTCAGCACTCTGTTTCAATCTCAGGACCAGGGAGGATGGTCACTGACTTTGTGGGTCATACTAGGAATAATTAGGAATGACCAAGTGTGACTGCCTCATCCCCACCCCTGAGGCTACTCTGCACCTACAGTGCAGGTAATGTGTCCTTAAAACGGACAGAAGAGGCCTTTAGTGAGACGAGCCTGAGAGACGCACTTTATCTAGTCTGGAATATAAAACGGGCCAGCATACATGGGTACAGTAAAGCTAAACAGAAGCTGGGACCCTGTACTCAGCCTCTTCCGGTGACAGGGTGCCCCATGTTTCGTAGAGAGAGGAAGCGCCGTCTCCTCGCTTGATCTCCAACTTTTCCGTCTTTCACCTATCACTGCTCACAGGCCCATAGCTGGAGTGAGACCCCAGCATGGCCCAGGGGAGAACTGCAGAGTCTGATCCACAGGTTACAGCCAACATATCAAACACTTGTGAAATCTTACCAATTCCCATTGGGAGAAGGAGACTTTGTGATGTGTTTGAAGACAGTATCTAAGGATGACAATTCTCTTAGACCAAAGAGAATAGGTAGAACACTGAATCAAGCTGAATTTATCTACATGAGTACACTTACTAGCTATTTAAGTTTCACGGGGTATATAAAACAGAAATGGCTTACCAGTGTAGTTGGGTGATAGGCTTAAATTTTGTTTTGATGGGAGCCTTCCTGTGACACCAGAACATCCCTTCATAATGTGGAAGAGGAAATTTAGAAGCTTAGGGGTTTGGGGATGTTGGAGTAATTATTTATATGAAACTCACTCACCCTCTCCCTGACTACAAGGCCTGAGAGAGATCAGAGAACACTACTCACTGTGTGACTGAGACAGTGCCTTAGCAAAAGGTGCGCCAGTGTCCTTGAAAAACCTGGTGGTGAGGCCCATGCTGTGTTGGCCCATGCCTGTGAGCACTCTGGGAGGCAGAGATGGGAGGATTGCTTGAGGTCAAAAGTTCTGCCAGCCTGAGCAAAAACAACCCTGTCTCTACTAAAAATAGAAAAGAATAGCTGTGTGTGGTAGTGCACACCTGAGCTCCTTGGAAGGCTGAAGCAGGAGGATCACTTCAGCCCAGAGTTTGAGGTTGCTATGAGCTCGACTGCTTCCACAGCACTCTAGCCTGGACAACAAAGTGAGACTCTGCCTCAACAACAACAACAACAGAAAAAAAGCTGACGGTGACTGTTCTCTGTAGGCTCATTAAGATGCTGATAGGTGCTGCCTTTGGAATAGGATCCACCACTTCACTGGGAATAATGAGATCCTGGCCTGACATGGGCCAGGTGAAAGTTTGTAACTATCAGAAACAAACTGGACACAATTACCATGAAGAGCGGCAACAGGTGCGGGTGACAACCAGCGTGCTCTGACAACCGGGAGATTTGTGGTGTTGGATAACTGAACATCGTGTTCTTAGGAATGAAATAGATGGCAGCGTGCTAATATACTTGATCTATATAGCCAGGAAAATTCTAGGTCTGGAGAGCAGAAAACTTAACTTGGTCACCATAAAAGGAAGTCATGGCCTCTCACACATTTCCCAGATCTAAGCCAATTCAACGGCTTGGAGCCCTTTCAAAGGGAGAGTGGGGCTCTATCAGGAAAGTCCTGGCAGCACTGAGTGCATGTTCCATAAATCACCCTCCAAACCTACCCAAAGAGGCCTGCTGTCCTTTACCAGCATGACTGCACACTGGGAAAAAACAAAGATCCAAATCTGGAGGAATTAATAGATGATGCTCTCTGAGTTGATGCTAATCCCTGGGGCCCTGAAAAATTACCATGATTCACCATTGGTTCAGAATGAGGGTTTATGGAGGTCAGGCAGCTTGGGGCTGAGACTGTGTCATGGTGGCCCAGGCAGCCTGCAGCCCTGTGCTGTGGTTATATCGTTCATCTCGGGGTGGTTAAAGTAAGCATACTTGGCAAGGGCAGAATCCCCACACATCACTAAAAGGCACAGTCGAGTGAAAAGTGGAGCAAAAAAGATATCCGGCAGAACCTCTTTTCTCATCCATCCTGGTGCCTGGGTGCATACAAAGTGACATAGCAGTAGGGCTGGAGTCTATGATAGACTCAATCACAGGGACTTCCTTTAACAGGGCTGATCTGGCTCTTGCCACTGCTGAGCTCCCCCCTGCTCCCCCAGCCAACAGCAGAGGCCAGTGTCCCAGAAGGAGCCAATTAGACGCATATTCAGGATATGCTTTTGTCTTCACACCTTCAGTAAGTTCCCCAGCACCATCATCTGTAGCCCTTATTCAAGAGCACAATATTCCATACACTATTCCCTCTGGAAACCATTTTTAAAAAGGAAAAAGGAGCAATTGCTCATGTCCGTGGAATTCACTGGTATTATTACATAAATCATCAGCCAGAAGCAGCTGGCCTGACAGAATGGAGGAAGAGATTACTGAAAAACTACTTCTGGCATCTGCTGGAAGATGACATTCTGTGGTGTCGGGATCAGGTCCATCTCCGAACCAGCTCTCAGAGTATC